AAATCGATTATTCTGTTTCGGAGAAAACAGAATTGAAATTTGCCGGACAGCCGGGAAATTTTTGTTGAAAACTGATCTTTTTAAACCGTAGATAACCTAGAAAAAGTAACGCTCTACAACTTGACGAGAAGCCAGCTGAACAAGTCTCAATAATCCAAGTGGTTGTTCTTATGTAAGAAAAGTACGAATCGATAACCGTATAGAAGAGAAATATTTGTGGCAAAGTTTTCTCAACTGTGAGAAATAATATTTTTTATCGCGTTAAAATGTATGTATGTATGTATGTATGTATGTATAGTTGAATGCCAGCAGGCGCGCACCATTCGTACATTTCTTCGAGTTAAACTCAGAAACTACGCACTCTGTTGCTAACCTTACCATGCAGTAACGCGTGTTATGTATCTATACCTATATGTATATTCCGACTGAGCACCAACGTTCTTTCGTACTTGCAAAATTCTTAATTTTCAGTATGATCAAAATGAAATACAATCTGTATATTTTTACAGGTAGGTACCGTTTAAAAATAGAATCTTTAGCTCTTAAGCTTAACGTGAAAAAGAAAGAGACGATAAAAAAGAAAATTTAAACATCGAATAGAAAATATTTGCTACAGCTTTCGGGGTGAACGTAAAAACTTCTTGTTATTATAATAAATTTTATTCATTGTGTGTTCCAGGAGAGTAAAAATAGAATTTTCCTCTTGTCTTTTTTTTGTGTTCATCGTGAATGGCAAGCTCGTTGCAAGTGTATTATTAGTTTAATAAGCATAATCGATAGGAAGTTTGAATCGTTAACTTTATCTTTCGCGTTCGTGTAGCATGTCGGCGATATCATTGATCGAATTGTCGGAAATAAGTGACGACAGATCGCGTTATAGGTATCGTACGCCGCGGCGCGGCGGGGTCATTGTTACAACAGCGATCTTAATGCGATTCTTACCGATGCGTAACGAACGAGCGGAATAAAATTCATCGAATGGTATTAATTATTGGTGTAAAACTGATCTGAAATAAGGTTGACGGATGGTATGGTATGTGTGCAAGAATGAGTGGACGTGCAGCATGCCTTGAATGTTAATCGAAAAATAAGTATGGCATAAAAGGAAATATCGAGTGTGGTGGTACTTTCAAGAACATTTGTCAGCGTTGAATAATTCCAACGAGACCAAGGACCGATCAGTAAAGTAAATCGCGAGAATTGTCGAGGCGCGTAAACGAATAGACGAAATAGACACACGTATCCGCTTGGTGAAACATTTCGCAATCTTACTGTCCGATGTGCGATTAAACGAAACGATGTAATTAATAAAGAATTTTCGGAAAGAATGACAAATTTTTTTTCACGGTAAAAACATTCTACGTATGAACGTAGAACGTACCATGTACTTACTTACTTGGATTCGTATTGAATCGATACACGCGAGCGAACTCGAAGCATCACCTTTAACACATGCTAACGCCTCGTAACTCAAAGTAAACCGACCGATTTCGAATTTCCTCGAGAGACTATAGCGCAACGGTTTAATATATTTTCATTGATATTTTATTGCTTCTGTGGATCAAAAGTGTATGATACGAAGAGAAATGTAACTTCTATCGATATTGCGTAACAGCGAATGCGGTTGACGCATACTTATGGTGGTCGGTAATCGAATCTAAATGGTCGATTGGTCAACAAAGTCAGCTGTTTCATGCACTATAACTGTGTCTCGTGTGAAGGAATAAAGGCCGGAATAAATGTTTTTTAATCGGACGCTTGTGTTTCTAGAAGGAAGGGAGAAAAGGGAAGAAAAAGAAACGGTATAATCGGATGAATAGAACTTACCAGTCTGGAAAAATTTCGGACGCTTCGGCCAGGATGTCGCGAAGAAGCGTGGTAGCGGGTGGAACATGAGGTAGAATCACGGGAGCGAATACACCGCAAACGCCGGCGCTTCGTCCATGTTTAGCTTCATACTTGCTTAAATAAAGAGCCAAGTAACCGAACAAACGATAATGGGAGGATGGCAGAGTCGAAAGAACCTCCTTGGTTGAACTGATCCAGCAGTCGTGATCATTTGCGTAACTCTCTGCGAACGAAGAATTCAGGATAGCTGGTTTTTATCGAAATATCGCGTAGAAAAGAGAAAAATAACGACAAGGAAAGAAGTAAGGAATACTGACGAGTATGAATGGTCAATAGTCTAGCTACGAGCGTCGAAGATACGACAGGTTGTGGCAATTCTTTGAGATACTGACGAAGAAGCGTGGCCGCAGTCGGAGGACATGCCGCAGCTTCCAAGTCGGCGTCTCCTCTCCTTTCAAACGCGGCCCTCAATCTTTCCGCTAGTCTTGGACTCCCGCCGGAAAGACGAAACACGGCGGCACTTTGAAAACCATGAGCTTCGATGTAACTGCACAGCCGATGCACCACGAAAGGCACGCCGGTGTCGAGGTACGGCTCGATGGAATCCAATCGTGTACCAAATATTCTCGTCGATCCTCCGTTACGTCCCAACAGCGATACTGCCAGAACTCGTTTCACCTTCGCCAAACGGGATTCGTCCTTTGGAAAATTAGCAAATTTCATTCGTCACACAACTTCCACGTGCACCGTCCTTTTCACTATCGAAAAACGTCAAACCGAAGAAAATTACCTTTTCGTGAACTTGCCGAGAGCGTGTAGGACTTGTCGAGGATCCATGATGATGATGATGATGATGATGGTGATGGTGATGGTGATGATGAAGATGGTGGTGATTGTGGTGGTTGCTGTGGAGATGGTGATGTTCTTGCTGAGGACGTCTCATCCCACTTTGTCTACACCGTGAGCCACCGCCGCCGCACTGATCAAATTGTCAAACGTCAATTTTACTATCTATGTTTACTATTACATAACATACCATGCCATACCATACCATATACATAGGTATGTTACATCGAACAACGAACCATGAATATTTCACGACTATTTCGATCGATTGAATTTTTTCTTTTTCACCGTAAATTTCATTAATATTTGCAGGTGTGTAGTATATGTACATATACGTAGAATAGATACGTAAGTATGTATAGAGCGACGACGACGACGACGACGGCGATTGCTCTAACTGGCGAACAATTGGAGGAGCGGTCGCGTATCACGACCGGCTAATATCAACGATCCATTGTCCGTTGCAAAAGTTTACAATAATCGTGGAAAAGAACGATTAAGAAAAAGAAAGTAGAGACTCACAATGCACTCCCTCGCGATTCTCCACAGATTGAAATAAATGGAGTACAGCCTGGAAGCTACTTGGAAGTACACCTTCTGACTGTTCGTTTCTTCCTCGTTGTAGCTGATTTCGCAAGGGTTAGGTGAAGAAAGGGTGCGCGCCTTTCAAATCTGCTGGTCCCGCGTGCGTTTTTCAAGCGCGAAAAGACAAGTGTAACGAGAGAACAAGGTACGTGCTATCCAACAATGTTTCCTCCCTTGGCAAGCGTCGATCCTTTCCTTTCCTTCTAATATCGCTGTCGCGATCACTTTGTTACGTAAAAAAGAAAATCACAATTTCTCAATGGAAGCGAGAAAGGAACTTGTTCTCCGTCTCACTTCCGTTTCTCGTGTTTCGTTGTTTCACGTGTTCTCTCTCTCTCTCTTTCTTGGTTCTCGCACGGGAAAAAAAGGGTTTAAAACGGAGGACGTGTTCTCTCTCTCTCTCTCTCTCTTTCTTGGTTCTCGCACGGGAAAAAAAGGGTTTAAAACGGTGGACAAGGAACGATGTGTGGGATAAAGGGATGACGGGAACCAGAGGGGCGACCAGCGAATAGAAAATTCTCAAAGGAGATGGGGCCGGCGAAGAAGAGTCCTTCGTCGACACGCGCACAGAACTCTCGAGTTCAATTTTTAAGCCGATGCCGGCAACCAATACGACGATAAAAAGAGATCGTTTGAATCTACTAGTTTTGGGTTCATGTCCCTATCACGGCACATCGCATCGAGCCCTTTCTCTAAGGCGAAGGGCACTGCCTATGGCTGCTTCAGGAAGTGAGTCGAGACCAGCCTTAGCGTAAGCATCGAGGGTCAGAACCGAGGATGAGTGTTAGGTCACCACTCTGCTCCTTGCCCTGACATGGTCCACGTGTCTCCTTATAGTACTTCTACCGCAACTGCCTTCTGAAATCAAAACGAACGTTACAATTTTACGTCGAACGAATCCAACCATGTAAAATGAATGTTCATTTATCGCGATAACTCGTTTCAACTCGTTTCATTTTCATTATTCGGAAAATTTTATTATTCGATATCACGTTCGAATTTCACGATTCAGCGGAACCTGCAAAATGTCTCGATTTCATTTAAACACTAATTGTCACTGTCGTCGTCGTCGTCGTCGTCGTCGTCGTCGTTGTCGTCCTAGTCGTCGTCCTAGTCGTCGTCGTCGTCCTAGTCGTCCTAGTCGTCCTAGTCGTCGTCGTCGTAGAGCGGGAGCAAACACAAACGTTCTCTGCTCCAGAACTTTCCTCCACGCCGAGTTGCGTCAACATTCTGACAAAAATTTCGATTCGTCGATAAGCGTAGTATTTTTCATGACTTGTTCACCTACGAAGAAAACATGTTTTTTTGTGAAATATGACGTTGAACAATCCTAAACTATGTATGTATACATTATAAAAGGGTGAATAAACGGTAAAGAGAAAGAAAAAAAAGAATTTGCTGGTTGATTGGATGTGGCGATAGAAAAGTCTTACGTTCCATTGATCGTGCAAACGATCGATATTTTGCGAGTGCAATGGAACCAGCATTTAACTTTGTAGGAAGAAAAGAGTGAGAGAGGAGGCAAGTAAAATTTGAATTGCCGGGGATATAATTGGAAAGCACTGATCGTAAAATAGCACGACCCGTGACGGAAGAACGGAAGAAACGTGACACGTCGCGTCATTGTTTACTTTTCGAAATCGAAATCAAAGTCGAAGTCGAAGTCGAAGTCCGAGTGAAACGAGAAAGAAGCAGAATGAGAAACTTCGTGTTGCCAACGTGATGCATTTTCTTTCGAATAAATTCGAACGCACACGTATATTTGAAAAACCAGCTAACTCTCGCTTTTCTCCTACCGTCCACCAATTAACCCTCTTACGCTCGTAACACACATAATCGGCCGTATGTGAATTATGAAACAGAAAAGTAAAAGAAAAGAAACGAAAAGAAAAAAGGAAAGAAATGTCCGTTGTAACGACACGACGTAGTAAATAGTAGTGAGATTAACCTCTTCAAAGATTTTGTATTAACGATCACAAAACATAATGAGAACTGCGAAGCAAAAAATGTGTAACTGGCGAAGAAAGTGTATTCCTTGAGAAAAGGAAAGAAGTAGAGGTGTACCTGAAGAGGAGAACGATAGTCATAACGATCAGAACGGATCGTGCACAAGCGCCACACGAAGCGATACTGAATACTAAGTTTTCACGACCGCGTAGCTCCCCTTTCCTGTCCTTTCCCCTCATTCACCCCTTCGCCTCTAATGTTGCCCGATAGTCCCTTTACGTCTCCTCCGCTAGCGAACGGAACTCGAGCAGCGTTTCCACCGTATCACATATACCCCCTTAGCAGCAGATATCGCGAGGACGAGGGCGCATGCACTACCTCCAAGAATCAATAGACCGTTCTGGTCACGTGAAGTATCCACGAGAACAGAGAGCAAACATAGAAGGAGACAGAACTTTACATGGAGACGGGGTAAAGAAAGGCGAGGAGAGTATGAGAAAGAGCAGAAAAGATGGGCGGGGAACGGTGGACGTCGGTCGGTTGACGGGGGGAGGGGGGGGGGGAGACAGGTGAGAGAATATGTGAAAAGAGTAAGGGATAAATAAAAAGGGACACTGGCAACATTGATTCAAGCGAAATAACGAGACGATCAAATTTATCTTGAAACTTACCGAAGATCGTATGTGAACGGTATGCGAGTAAACAGTGTCGTAGATTTCTTATTTTCTGTAGAAAAGGACACGCGCGGTAAATTGCAAAATAACGAATTAAACATCACCGTAGTACAATTTTCACATCTATCAGACAGACAGACAGATAGACAGCCATTCGTATGTACGATATACATATGTACTTATGTATTTACACACGTATATACATATGAGACTTTCTAATTTTTTGGATAACCAGTTTTTCATTTCAACGTAACGGAAGATCGTCCGCCCTTCTATTGTAACGTTCCATTTCATTTTTGACAATCGTAGCGAGAATACGACACTGAAAATAACTTGACAATTTTTCAATTATTACAACCATTTCGTTCGCAAACAATTACCATCTTCGAAAATGACCAATTAGTATATTATCTTATCGTAACATTTGAAATTCGCACCAATATGTGTTCGCAAATATTCTCTTGCCTATCGAGTCTTTACGAGAAGCGATACTACGTGATCGTCCATTTCGAATAGTTTTCTACGATACAGTATCGCAATTCACTCTACATATACTAATCTTCAAATTGATATCTCTTTCGAAATTGAACCTATTAACTGTCTTATTCGTCTAATCCAATTGTTAACATAATTTTATGTAACATATTCGAGTTTACATTCTTGTTCAAATTTTTCTAGTTCCAGCTTCAATTCCAGGAACATTCTTATTTTCAGTTAAAACCAACTCTAATATCCAAACTATTTTTCTACTTTATTTCCTCTACGTGAGAAATACCATAAAAATTGATTTATACTATTGACTGCCGCCGACGGTAAATAAACAATAGAGAGACATCGGTGAGAAATTCAACATTTTTCAAATATCATAATCGACCATTCGAGTATAAAACTTTATCAAAACATAGTGCTCCTTGAAATGCATTAATTAAATCAACAATAAACTAATATACAGTTCCTAATATTCTTGTCGGTATCTACTATATCAACAGAAATAGTACTTACACCTAGTACGTATGTACGTACAATGACCCCTCAGAGCTATACACATACATATATGTATGTATGTAATCTGAATATTCACAATTCATCTTCTCATTAATTCACTTTACTTTCATGCAACTATGACCAATATAATATTAGAATGTTACGGTACTTTCGTTCGAAACGATTGTTTCATTAACACCCTCTATATTGTATGCTTTACGGTTCATATTCAACGTTTATAATTGGTACAGCAATAACAGAATACGTGTATGCACATAACGCTACTTAACACTTATTATTTCTTAATACATACATACATGTATTTATGTATATTGTTCTGTGTGTGCACAGTATAAAAGGAAACATACACATGTGTACATAATACACAATTTACGATATTGTTTATATGAAATTAACAATAACGTACCTTTATATCGTTAACGTATTATGTATTTCACGCCGGCGATAATTTTCGTTGTAACGTTAAACACTGTAAAGAAGTGACGAATGAAGAAATACGATAATCTTCAACTCCATTACCAGAAATCTGCCTGTCACCAGGGATTATGTGAATAAAAGCAAAGATTGTAGGAAATTAACCCCTTACCGATCCATCAAATTTATCTTCACGTTGCTAAACAAAATGTACAGACTCACAACCACGATATTTTACTTTTACTATGAAATCAATTTTCGATAACAGTTTTACAATGCAAAGTCGCGAAATATGTGACCAAATTACTTAAGAACGGTTATCATATTCACAGTACAGATACAAATGCACCATACGCCATATTAGTTGCACTTTACGTTCAAAGAGAATCGATTGTAGCAACACGATACGACGACACATGTTCGTATTGTAGAAAATCAAATTATGACAAATGGTTATTATATCTTGTAACGCATATCTTAAAGTGAAATAATTAATAATTATGCAATAGAAATTTCATTTCAATTCTATATATGAACAAGCTAAATGAAAAAGTAAAAACTTTCAATCATCAGCAGACTAGTATTCGTCGTCTCAATAGCAAAAAATATGCAATTAAATTTCAAAAAAATTAATTTTCAATAAATTCCAAGCTGCTGTTGTTGTTGTTTTGCAACAGTTCTTACCGTAAAACAATAATTATTGTCTTGCTTTAAAAAATATTAATTCACAGATGAAAAATCAATTTTTAGATTTTTATTGGTCTTTCATGATACATCGCAGAAAACTAGGCTATATTTCACGTAACATTGAAAATTCTCTTAGCAAAATAATAATAATAGTTTATAATTGTAAATATAACTATGATGATGATCATGATCATCGCCATGATCGTAAAATATATTTAAATACAGCAACCTTATATACCATATTTATAAGCTCAATATTATCAGAGTACAATATGAAGAATAAAAGGATACGTACACACACTCATATTATACGAAAAACATCGGTGAAATTTTATTTATACTTAAAGTCAACTTGCTTCGTTGCTCCTCTTCTAAATTATTTACATCCAATGACAGCTAAATGAGCGTAATAAGTAGGCGCGGGATAGCTGACGGATCTTGTGCAGCGTGCGAACATATGACAAAGGTAATATGTTAGCTGTTCTATTTCATCTTCTGACATGCCAAGTTCATTACAAATACATCTGTATTTTGTAGGTCTGGCAGTACCCTATAAAAATTTGTTACCTGACTAATACAAATTCTTCAAATTCTTTATTCTAACGTATGTATATTAAGCATTGTTGACGTACCTGAATACTAGCATGAGATACGAGATAAAAATCTATGTGAGTTGGATGTGTAATTTCTGTGTCAACTATTGTACCCGCCTGTACATTAAAATATCTGTCATCGGAATTCCTCGCATCAGTTGGAAAAAAGCGTGTATGATGTCTTTTTTGAACGACAAAATATGCAATTGGTACTTTATCTGCATCAGCATTATATAATCGTGCCACAGCTTTTCTTATCGCAGTCATTTCAAAATGCATCACTTGTGTAAGCTGCCCTTCGCTTACACCATCCCTATATATACATGTACACATATACACGCAAAAAGTCGTTTCTTAATTCTATCTTTTGTACTGGAATTTACCTAATATAACGTAACGTTTATTATTTCAATCTGTTTACCGATAAAAAATTAGTTGGCAAGGTTTGCATCTTGTTTGTTTGTAGAAAAACACCAATTGTTTCATCATAATTTCTTCCATATCTTGTATCATTTCTTCTCTTGGTGACTGAAGTCTCACTTCAATGTTATATTGAAAAGCATTCGGATCGTGGCTTGCAGCAACCTACATTAACACATTATTCGTTACAAGTATACATATCATATAGAAAACAGATATTTTACATAACTGAAAATAAAGGTTTTCCTTACGGCAGCAATTGAAGGTATATTTACAGCATCGGGTGATGGATGCGTTACATCTGCACCAAGTATCATGCATGGCTTTTGTAAACAACGCGGACTGGAATAATATTTCAAAAATATTAAGTATACACCTACACGTATCATGTTACAAGGAACGTAAAAAGTGTGTGTAAAAAGTAATATTACCGATAAGTAGAGGCCAAAGTATGATTAACACCATTGAGTTTAGAATTAATTTTTAATAAAATATTTATGATCGTTGATTCGCTCAATCTTTTTTTTATAGTGCCGGCTTTTATACATTGAGTTACCATACCATTGGGTATGTTGAGTTCGGAAATTTGTTTTATTAAACCTTCAAGAATTAAAGCATTATCGTAAACGTTTCTTATTATTGTCATTTTACTTACCGTATACCGTATTGTCTCTTTCTTCAATTACTACTATTACCAACTGTATATTTTGTTGTTTCTTTTCTTGAAAATACTTCATAACATTATTAATATTATTTCCTCGTATAGATAAATTCCCAAATGGCTTTAGAGCATTGCCTATTGTCATGTTCAGGCGACGACCTAATAATCATTGTCAAATTACCACAATACTGTTACATATTATGTAGCAACTAGTCTTACATTTATTGGATAATTTCTTGTTGTAACGCGACATACTAACCATTATCTTGTAATTCAGAATGTAACTGATATAACTGAGTATCGTACACGGTTCTATCTAAATTTAAAATAGTCCACGAATCTTCTGGTAGCGTGGATGGCCTTAGAAATTTTTCTGGTCTCCATACCCCTTTAAATACTTTAACTTGTCTGTCGTTATATTGTAACATAGGAGGCTGAAGAACTCTTGCTGGAACTTTCTCCATATCAGTTTGCACAGAAATATGGAATTCATTCGTCAAACTAGGTTGTTTGTTTAAATCCATACTGGCAAACTACAACATGTTAATACTTTATTGATAATAAAAAAATAATGTTAGTGTTCAGATATAAATCAAAACTCTTACACCATTCATAATTTTCTCTTTGCGCTTTTTGGTATCAGTCGCTGCGTGCTTTATAAGTGTACGAACTTGAGATTCATCCATTTGCTTGTGCGTCACTTGCCCAGCTACAATTTTACATAACTGTAAAATATAAATAAAAGATTACTAGTATTCTTCTTGATAGTCATTCTTTTCATAGATATTTTTCATGTACCTCTGCAGGTAAATAAATCTTGTTATTTAGAGATCCTACCCAAAGGCAAGGTAAGTCAGGATATTGGATTTTATATTTTTTTGCTTGTTTAAAATATTGTTCAACTGTACACGAAGTTTGATCTTCTAAAGTGAATTCATTCCTTCTTGCGCACTCGACTAATCCGTTTACACGGTAAGTTCTTTTAGTCATAGACTGTCCAGGTATTTCGTACTGAACTTTCAATCCCTTTAGAAATTTACTTATTTTATCCTGATTATATTGTAAATCCCTTGGCGTTATATTTTCAACATTTCCACATAATTGTTTCATTAACTCAATAACTGATTGTTCTGTAGGAAATCCCTTATGTGCCACTACAAAAAAAATATAATAAATACTACTTGCATACAATATCATTATTGATATAAATAAATACGATTATATTAATATATTACCATCTACATTTAAATATGGTCTTGATCCAATTACAACAGATTTAAATACACCATACCATAAATCTAAGCCATTTGTTAAGGATACAATACGACCTGGTACCGGTGGCTGAAAAAGCGATCTGCCAACCTATTAAAACATTACATAAGCATTACTGTCAATATAGTCCATTTATTATAACCTAAAACATATAAACTATTACATAAATTTGAATATAATTTCTTAAAAACTTAATAATGCAGTATAACTTACTGAAACAAAGCGATGCGAAGCAGCATGATGTAAAATAATATTCAATGCTTGTAAACCCTGTTGTTCTTTTATTCCTTCAACATTAACGCCAAAATATATATTTTTCAACCACGATAAATCGATATTTGCAACTTTATTTAAATAAATTTTGAAAGTCCTTTCTCTACAAAACTCAGAATCATAAATTTTTATTTCATCTTCTGTCTGCAGAAAAAAAATTTATTAAATTTCACATAATTATGCAATTATATAAAACTTATATAGCTTGCAAAATTTGTATAACAAGTAGAAACTTAATTTCAATTCAGAAATCAGAAGAACAGTCATTGTATATGAATATGAAGTATGAATTTATAATTATAACAGCAAATTGTCAATTTACTACTTACACTTGTAACACCAAAAGGAAGATTTTTTGCACTAAATGCATTCTTCTTGCCATCAAATGCTGGGAACCTTTTTGGAAAATGCTTCTTCCTAAATTCTTCAAAAACGACTTTTAATAAAAACTTTGGCCTGTCTGGTGTAATAACTACGTCATAATGTACAATATCTGTTTCAAAATTAGAGTTCAAAAGTAATTTAAGCATATTCGTTTCCACAACAATTCGTCTACCCTCCTTCCCCCCTGTAGCACTAGTTTTCCGTGGTATTCGTTCCAAGTACATTTCATGTAAACCTTCTGGCAAGACAGATCTTGAAACATTTCGTTTTACCTTCATAGCAGTTTCCCAAATAGAAAACATAGAACAATAAAATTTGAATTATCACTTAACATCCATAATCTTAAAATCAATTTTATTTTTGCCAAAATATAAATTGTACCTGTGGTAATAATTGTTGTTGCTGCTGTTGTGGAGCAGGTGGTCGTTGTTGTTGCTGCTGTTGTGGAGCAGGTGGTTGTTGTTGTTGCTGCTGTTGTGGAGCAGGCCATTGCTTTTTCTGTTGTGGAGCAGGTGGTTGTTGTTGTTGCTGCTGTTGTGGAGCAGGCCATTGCTTTTTCTGTTGTGGAGCAGGTGGTTGTTGTTGCTTCTGTTGTTTTGGAGCAGGTGGTCGTTGTTGTTGCTGCTGTTGTGGAGCAGGTGGTTGTTGTTGTTGCTGCTGTTGTGGAGCAGGCCATTGCTTTTTTTGTTGTGGAGCAGGTGGTTGTTGCTGCTGTTGTTTTGGAGCAGGTGGTCGTTGTTGTTTCTGCTGTTGTGGAGCAGGTGGTTGTTGTTGTTGCTGCTGTTGTGGAGCAGGCCATTGCTTTTTCTGTTGTGGAACAGGTGGTTGTTGTTGCTGCTGCTGTTGTGGAGCAGGTGGTTGTTGTTGTTGTTGCTGCTGTTGTGGAGCAGGTGGTTGTTGTTGTTGCTGCTGTTGTGGAGCAGGTGGTTGTTGTTGTTGTTGCTGTTGTGGAGCAGGTGGTCGTTGTTGTTGCTGTTGTGGATTAGATGTTCCTGGGTCATCCTCCTTTCTTTTATTCTTTCCTTTCTTTCCTGAACGCGAAAATGAATATCTTTTTGTTAATATATTCACCGTCAGGCCAATTCTTCATGACTTTCCGTTCTCGTCCAAGTGACGACGACAATTGAAAAGCTTAGCGTGAGTCGTAATCGAACTAGTAGTAATATAGTAATTATGTCTTAATAATGTCTGTTCTATACGTTCTTACATTACATTCAATTTATAACAGTAATAACTGTAAAAGTAATAAGATACCTTTTCCCATTTTATTATGGCGTTACTCGTCTATCCGGGGAGAAATACTTCAACTCGATGCGAATATTAACCGTTACCTTGAAGTTTTATCGAATCTAAGACAACAAGTAATGTTGGCTCAAATTAAGTTCTATCCCGTGTACGTTTAATTTACAACAAATATCTCAGTACTCAACACTCACTCGTCTTGTATGTCACCTTTTCTCTTATTACGGAGAGGGGGAACAACCAGTAATGTTCTGGAAAATTCTTTGCAGTTTCACCAACATGCTATACTCGTAATACAATGTAGGATAATATGAAGAAAATAAAAAATAAGACAATATATTTTATTAAACACGAAACAAAATTTACAAATATACTTCTCTAAGGAAAGTATATAACATGTTTGGAAATGATTTAATGTTCTTATACGTTTTCTTACTGTATGTAATTATTAATATTATATACAATGCACTAAATATGGTATTGAAAATTTTTTTATTTCGTAATTGTGTCTAAAAGTGTACAATAATAAAAGTCTCTAGAAAATTAAATCTGATCAGTATGTGAAACAGTACCAATTTTACGAATGCTAATCAGAACAATGCAGATTGAAAATTCCCATCCTTTATTTCTATCTTTACACTAAAATCAGCTAAATTATACATACAGCTTTCAAAATGAAAATTTCTTCTGTTTTCGGTATCTATTTATTTCCTGGTTATTGAATTAGTAATTACAGCTTAATTTTAAGTTTATTATTATCATGTATATTTGGAAAAAGTCATCTATACAAAATCGGTATCGGTCGAACAGAATCAATTACAATAAAGGGGAACATTGAAAATATATTAGGGATGATTTAATTTTGCACAATTTGAAACAGAGTTTAATCATAAATACCTACATGTATTGGAATAGGAAAAGTGATCTGATTGTTTTGAGTACACACGTTTATAGAGAATTTGCAGTTTAGATTTGTCTATCTGCAAGCGTTCTAGTTAGTAAAAGAACCATGGTTCTCGCAATAATCGTAATGGTTGTTGTGTTTCTCTGAAAAATATGGCAAGATGGCGACATATTTGAAGCGAACGTCAAAATTGTTTGATATTTCTTTGACACAATCATCAGTAGACCTTAGTCTTCGAGATTTAATATGTCCAGTGTGCCGCAGCATCCTGATTGAACCAGTAACATTACCGTGCACACACAATCTTTGTTTAAAATGTTTGAAAGGTACTTTCGAGCATAATAGCTTGAGTTGTCCTCTTTGTAGAGTACGAGTCGGTTCTTGGCTACGTACAGCAACCAAGACCGAAACATTAGTTAATAGCGGTCTTTGGGAACTAATTCAAACTAAATTTTCCAAAGAAGTTGAAAATAAATACAACGGTGACGACAAAAATATTGAATTGGATGCTGGTGAGTTGCCTATAAGACAAGATAAACAAACATAACATAACCTCTGAAAAGCCAGTTATACCCAATCATACACACTAATATACAATTTCTAAACTCTTGAAAGAAACTATTTGATTTATTATTTTTTAATGCTGTGTAATAAATTATTTTTCTTATACAGACTTCGCTGGTGCTAATAAAATACTTAGTGCAGCTGGAGAAATTCGACGGGAATATGAAGTCCAACTTCAAATGGCCAAGGAAGAAATGCGATGTCAAAGAAAAGCTGAACAGATAGCCAGCGAGGCTTTAATTCGCAAGATTCAAGAGGAGGAGCAACAGCAACAATTAGCTCAGTTAACACAAGATCAGTTTTTTGCTAAATCTATAATGAAAAAGCAAATTGTTGAAAAACAGGAAGATACATCTAAATATAACAACTCCTTTAATGCATCTAATAGTTCCTTTCACACTTCAAAATTTAATGTTGCCACTATGACTGAAGTGAATTCATGTAAAGTGGAACCTCATAGTTCAAAATATGAAAAATCAGCTCTTCTGCAACCCTACGAAGGTTCAGGATTAAGGAGGTCAAATATTGCACTAATATCTAAAATTCGTGCAGAAAGACATGCCTCTAGTGCAAAAAACAGTGCAGACTTGTCTAATGCATATAATGATTCTGCAAGTAAATTTTGTTGTCAAAATCCAATGCCTGTATATAATGCTATTTCGAGGACACTAAAGCATCAAACGTCAACAAAAGTAATAGAACCTTGTGTCTCGAATTGTTCCTTGGAACCTAGAATGTCCTCTTCAAAAATATATGGCACTCAAAGCAAAGAAGAGTTGCGTATACCGAATGACATTGTGAACAGTAAAAAGAAAAGTTTGGGAGTGGAAGTGTGTATATCTTCGGGAGACGACGACGAAAGAACGGGAAGTGCAGAAAGTGCCGGCAGTCATGATAGCATCAATCAAGAAATTCATCACTTTAAGCCTATCAAAGCTATGCCAAGAACACCATTAAAAATATCTACAGGTTGAATAATATCTTTATTTTATCCTATCTGTACTCCAAATTTCGGATGTTTTTTTTTAAATAATTTGTACAATATTCTGTTACAGATGGCAGACAAATAGATCCGAAATTAATTAGAGTTGTTCCTGTCCTTAAAAGGATATCTAATGTTGTACCTAAACCTCCATCTCAAACTCATTTAAAACGAATTATTGGATGTTCCTGGAGTGCATTTCGAGGTAGGTTAATCTCACACTGCAATACAAATTTTAAAGGAAAAATAAAACGTTTGAATTCCATGAGATGT